CCCTAGTTCAGACATTCATACAAAATCAAGTACTACATGTCATTGAAGAATATTCAAATAATGCTTTGGGGTTTTCCTTCTGTCAGGGTGCTGCCATACGTGGTTGGTTGGAGGTTTTGGATTTCTCTTTTTGGTTATCTGGTGTTTCGGTTTTGGGGTTGTGGAGGCTATCATTGGTTTCGATGGTGATGCTGGGGATTTTAGCCCAAGCAATGATGAGGAGATCTTGCTCTCCATCTGGTTGGCTTGGCTTGTTGGCAATCACTGGTGGTGGCAGCTTGGTATGTGGTTTTGCTTGTCCATTTCGGGACTTCTTCTTTGTGGCCTGATGCTTGTTTCCTGCTATGGATGGCCTATGCCTACCATTTGTGTGGTCGCAGAATGTTTGTCATTAGCTGAGCCTGATTTCCTTGAGTTTTCATTTTTGATTGTTTGTTTCTATGTGGTTGTACTTATCTTGTTTGTGTTACTTTGTCCTATTTTGGTCTTTCTTGTACCTTTCCTTTTTTATTGGAATAATATATTCTTTTAGTTAAAAAATAATAATTACTACTTGTAGTATAATCATGATGATGGAAACCCCAAAGTTGTATTCAATTCAGTGAGCCATGTACCATTTATGAAACTCACATGTGAGTGAAAGAGAATGAACATCAACGACAAATATCAATCAGTAAATATTGATTGATGATGAAGAGCACTAATCACGATCAAGAATAGGATGTTGGTTATCAAATGTTAGTCAATTGATAGAAGATGATGACTAGTGTTAGAAGTAGGATGTCAATCGATGGATATTGGTCAACAAATTTCATTTTTATCAACAAAATGCACCGTTTCAAAGTTGTTGACACCACAAGCACAACAAAGTTGATGCGAATCAAACATGATTGGCGCTTTATGTTGAACAAATTTGAAGCATAATCATATTGCATTGCCACCAAAAAGTTAATGATAGGGCACAATCTTACCATCGATTTGTATATCTAGATGAAAGCAAACCAACATTGCAAGTTTTACAAATAAAACATCTACTAAAGCTACAATTATTTTGAGAAAACAAAGGGAATAAATTCATGGCTGTTGAAAAATAGTGATGGAACACTTTTATTTTTATTGTGAAATACTCTCCTTCATAAAAGCAGTCCATTGTTACGAACAAGACACAATTTCATCACACGTCGTTCACAATTGCTTCAAAATCTTCAGAATTTTCTCAAAGCACTTTCAGCAAATCACAGTCTTATCGCAAGTCATAGGTTCATTGCCAATAGATCTTCCTTACAGCATTAATTATTACTAGCAAAAGATCGAATCATGCATGCTGGTTACATAATTATTCATTTAATAGGTTCATTTCCATAAATAAAATCATCAGTAACTAATCCTCAAGCAACATTGTTGATATTAATTTTCTTCTTCTGATGGCGATTGAAGAGGCTTTCACGGCCTGATGGATGATGATCCTCCTTATGCCCAGAATGAACTTTGATCCCACAGTACTTGTCTCCATGATCCGGCTTTCCTGGAAATCCCTTCCTTATACAGTAAGAGCTGCATAAATTACTGCAGATGGGTGGCGAAACCTCTCTGGGATCAAGGCTCATACATAATTTGAAGCAGTTGCAATAGCATGGGTGAGCTTCAACACTTCTCAGGGAAACTGAACAGATCATTGCAGAGATTAGGAGGACTAAGCTCAGTTTTATTAGAATACATGTATTATTAGAATACATGTACATTCTGCACTTATTATATAAATATTAGTCTAGAATAATCTTAGGTTCTTCTGTAATTATAGTTAAACCAAAAGGTTCCTGGCTCTATATAAGAGCCGGAGCATGTATCTACTCAATAATAATGAAATACAAAATACAAAGTTCTGCTTCAAGAACTTCTTCTCTCTGTCATTTTCTTCAAGTTTCTTATCATAAGCCATCTCGTTCTTCTTGTTGGATTACTGGAATGAATCGAGTATTTATATGTTTCAGAAAGCTGAAGCTGGTAATTTCACGACAGATATTTGTTGCTGAGAAGGTGAAGGGGTTAGAAAGGAAGAAGATTGGAACCATTGAAGGGGAAGGAAGTTAGAAAGATGAAGTTTGGAATAGTTGAGGGAGGGTTTGGTTTGTTAATTGTTTCACGGTTTCTATTTTTTGTTCTTTATGATTGCTGCTGGTTAAAATCTGTTCAGCATACTTTCAGGTTATAACTTCTGAACAATAAATGGTTAAGGAATTCGATTGTACTGTGAAGCATTCAGCTCCCTAAATAGGCCAAATATATTTGAAGCAACTGTTGGATAAATGGCGCTGTGAATACAGTGAATCAATTCAGGGAAAATTTAGCTAAGAGTGCAAAATTCGTTATCTGAAACTACTGAATATTTCCATCAAATTGTTTTTTTTGTTCGTCTAATTATCAAAATACTAATCAAGCTGGTTAGAAAAATAATTCTCCCATTGCAAAAAAACTTGAAGAATAAAATATCAAGTATCTTAGAAAAATTTTACTTAGATATATTGAGTTAAGTTAGGGGGCCATTTAATTGGCTAAAAAATAAATGCGGAGTAAAATGAAATATAGCATACAATGAGTATAATGTCTTTGAAATATTTGGAGTTATTTGGATGAGTTTAAACTAAATGTAGGTGATTTTTTTTAGCTTGAAGTAAAATAAAAGCAGTGTAAAAGACAAAGATGGGGGTAGTCAGTGGTCGAGGGAAGACAATGAACGACGATGGCTGTCAACAGTTGGTGGTGGTGGCAAGTGGTGGTTGACGGTGATTGGTGGTGGTTGATAGAGGTGATAATTTCAAAGAATTTTATGTGTATTTAAAAATCGCTCAGTTTTTAAAATTTCAAATACACCATAATTGCATAAAAGGATGCAATCTAAATTCGCCAAAATGTTACTCTTTATTTATTTTTATTTCAAATCAAATATCAATACTTTCAAAACCCTCACATTTGAACCCCTTTTACTTCAAATCAATGAGTCCTTTAATTTTTATCTGATGCCATAAAAAGACAACTCATAATAAGGCCAAAAGATTGCAAAAGTACAAACAATGTAAGCAAAAATTATTACTTCAATTTCAAGAAAAAATAGATATATATTTTAATATTTCTTTAGAGCCCATATGGCCATATTAGAAGAGAGCTAGAATGCTAAAGGAAAACTTGCGAAGCACGAAAGGCTGTCGGCATCTGCGCTTGCGAACTGCAGAAGGTGAAGCAGTAATGCGGAAGAGAGTGTGATCCGGCCTCTGCCCTTGAACCGTGAAATCGAGCGGCTCGACGAGCTTGTTTTCAGTGGCACGAGCCAACTCAAGCTCGCCTTTTGAGCTCAACTCAAGTTCAAGCTTGAATTTTCGCTCGCGAGTTGAGCTCTAGTTAGGCTTGACTCGAGCTCGACTCGACTCATTTGCACCCTACAAAGGCACATAAATAGCCTTTTTATTTAGGATGTAAAAACTAAAAACTTTAAATTAATGGATGAAATAAATGCAGTAGAATTATTCAAGAATGATGAAATTTAATGGATTATATTATTTGATTGAACTCTTTTAATTAAATAATTATTTTCAAATGAACAAATTTTCTTTTTAATATACCTAATGTATGAAAATAATGAAAAATATATATGATAAAAAATTATGATGCAAAATATATTAGAATGAACTTTAAAATATTTAAATTTATGCTGATATAAATATCATATTCTAAATTACATTAATCGCATTATAAATTTAAAAATTTATGTAAATGAGAATATTCTGCTCTAATTTTCTTAAGAGAAAACAATTCAGCATATTAAAAAACATATATTTTATGTAAACGAAAGCTAATGGGCCACCCTCCATTAATTGGACTCATTGATAAAGATTTTTATATTCCTTGAAATTCTTATATTACATAAACTTGTGGTTAGCTACATCCATAAGGGCTCATTTGTCTCCTAGTAATAGAAAAAATTAAAAATAAAAGGATTTTTTATATTCTAATTTGTTGTATGCCAAAATAAAATTATCATATTTGATGTCGCTTTAGGTCATAGAAATTTCGAAAAATTCCAACCAAATGACAAATGGGCCCCTCATTTAATTTCTTATATAAACTTTAATAATAAAGACAAGTAACTCATTTTGATTCATTGGTTGGGAGCTTTGACAATCAATGAAGATATATGAGATTTTAGGTTCAAAATTTACGTATTTGATATATGTAAAATTATCTATAATAAATATATAAATATATAAACGAAAGCGCCAATTTTGAGATTCGGACGAATTTTCTTCCAACATTTTTCAACATCATAGTCTATTGAAGAGCAGTGAATGTTGCTTGGCTTCTTCACCATCCATTAAATTCAATTACAAATTAAAAACTAAAAACTAAATTACATTAATAATAATAACATTTAAAATAGCTTATTTGGTAATGGTAATTTGTACATAGAAAATATGTTTTATATTTTGACAATTTAATTTTATAAATCCAGAGAATATAGATAACTTTTCTTTTTTTTGCAGAAAATATAGATAACTTGAATCATACACAACTCTAATCTTTATCTCAGCAAATGTGCTATTCTAAGCAAAAACTCACAATTAAGGTTTAGTCTGCGATAATTTTTATACTATTTTTTTACAAAAAAATTTTGATAAAATTTTTTTAATTCATTATACTAAAAAATTATTTAAAAAAACATTAAAAAAAATCTCAAAGATAACCTAAATTTCATTTAGGACAATTTTTTGTCACAATTTAGGCTTAGCCTTAAAAAGACTTGATTAAAAAATATTAGAAATAATATTTCTTTATTAGTTTCAAATGAAAATTTGACTTCTAACAAGACAATGACAAAAAAGGATTCATATAACCGACCCCACATAGTGGGACAAAGATTTGATATTGTTGTTGTATTTAGGCTTATCCCTATCTCGCATAAATAAAATAAACACAAAAAATAAGAAGATTTTAGTATTTTTACCGAATATCGTTTGCCCCACGCTTTAATACACAGGCAAAGAGATTTCCAACCAAATTACTCATTATTACTGTACACATTTCAATTTTTTTTTTCTTTATACTACGGAGAAAATGATAAAAACATCAAGCTCGCAAAAGGAGCTCGTAGCAATTGCTATTGTTTTGGCCGCTGATTCGCTTCAATGCCTCAAAGAACCGCCTGCTGCCTATAAAATCTATCCGTCGAAACTGCACAAAACCCTGGTCGAGAGCTTCTTTGCTGGCATAAAGGGATCGAAGCCTGTCAGCATGCCTCGAATCAGTGTGGATTGCTACTTCTATCTCATCTGCCGATATGTTCGCCTGCAAAGGAAAAGCAAAAAAAAGAGAGAAAGGAGGGATAGCCTGCAGTTCTTAATAGTTTGAGCAGCTATATGTAATATATCAAGATTAGATTAAGGTTTACTTTGGGACGGTTTTCTAATTGTTTCTTAAAGTAATATTTTATACAAAAGGTGATGATCATCATTAGACATGATACATCGTGCAAAAATTATCTTGATCGGGCACGAATCTCAAAGCAAAATCAAGTTGAAAACTTCCGAAATTAAAATCAAGAGCATCCGAACTCCGATTTCAACAAACTTACAGTCGAACTGAGCGTCTCGGAAATATGAACCCAACGACACCAAATTCAACCCAATCCGAGCCAATATGGGTCCAAATCAAGGACCCGGAGCGCTGTTGGAAGGTTCAAACCACAATTTGGATTACCAAACGGTTTCCAAACATAACAAACTTATAGTCGAATCGAGCGGCTCAACGAGACGAATCCAACGAGCCCAAGATCACTGAATTCCGACATCACTAAGACATTCAAATGTCCATCAAATGGTTCATGATCAAGGGATTCAAGATCGGCCGTCCATCCAACCACTCCCAACTTACCCTTGATCCTCCACCTATTTACAGGCCATGTCATTCCCAAAATCTATAACTGAAGCTCCCTCTCCTCTTGAAAAGGGATCCCCTAAGCCTAAAGAAAAAAGAGAGAGATCGGAGATCGCTATTGCTTCCTAGCCTCCTCGAACACTGTCGGAGTTTCGTCGGACCACCGCCGGAGTTCCAACGAACCACCACTGCTCCACCAACGCCGAACGTCCATCGAACCACCGCCTAACGCCGTTGCTTCGCTGGACCACCACCTGACGCCCTGTGCTCCTCCGGACCACCGCCTAACGCCATTGCTCCGCCGGATCACCACCTGACGCCCTGTGCTCCGCAGGACCACTGCCGAACGTCGTCGCTCCGCCGGACCACCACCTAACGCCCAGTGCTTCGCCGGACCACCACCTGACGCCATTGCTCCGCCGGACCACCGCCTGACGCCCTGTGCTCTGCAGGACCACCGCCTAACGTCGTTACTCCGTCGGACCACCGACTGACGCCCTGTGCTCCGCCGGATCATCACCTGATGCCATTGCTCCGCCGAATCACCCCCTGACGCCCTATGCTTCGTCGGACCACCGCCTAACGCCGTTGCTCCGCCGGACCACCACCTGAAGCCCTGTGCTTCGCCGGACCACCGCCTAATGTCATTGCTCCGCCGGACCACCACTTGACGCCCTGTGCTCCGCCGGACCACCGCCTAACGCCGTTGCTTCGCCGGACCACCGCCTAACGCCGTTGCTCCGCCGGACCACCACCTGACGCCCTGTGCTCCACCGGATCACCGCCTAACGCTGTTGCTCCGTTGGACCACCACCTGTCATCCTACGCTCCGTCGGACCACTGCCTAACGTCGTTGTTCCACCAGACCACTGCCTGACACCCTGTGTTACGCCGGACCACCACCTGACGCCTTGAGATCAGCTTGAGATCCTCACTTTTGCCAGACCACCGTCAGAGGCCCTCACCTTCGTCAGATCTTCACTTGAGGCCTTTGTCTTTGCCATGTCATTATCTAAGGCCCGAATTTCTATCAGATCATCCTCTGAGGCCCGAAGCTCTGTCAGATCATCACCTGACACCCGGAATTCTATTGTACGATTGCTACTTATAATCTGATCATCCTGAGAGGCGAGTCAGCCCATTGTAATCAACTTAAGTTTTAGTGAAATCTTTTTCAACTGGGCTAGGCCCCGTGGTTTTTCCCCTTTCAAGGGTTTTCCACGTAAAAAACCTTGTGTTCTCTGTGTGTGAGCTGGATATCCGTAGAACGCTAAGACGAATGATTAAAACTCTATCGCCGCGTATATTCTAGCTCGCAACAAGACATATTCCAACATTTGAACCGGGATTCATGACTCTACCTTCTCTATTCATTCTCATGAAGCATTTTGCATTGTTAATTGCAATCCTTTTGAATTTTAGCTTATATGTCAAATTTAGTCTCTTTTTTTCTAATCCTTCAGTATTCATTCTAATATGTATTATTATGTTAAGTCAATTATTAAACTTCAAGAAAAAATCAAACAAAATGTGAGAAAAAACATAACATATAAATTTATGTGATTTGGTCAGATCCAGTTAAATCTATGGCTGTAGAAAAATCAAAGATCCCATAAAACTTCAAAAGAGGGAGCATCAAAGATTCCTCTTCTTACGAAGTTCGAGATAAAAATAGAGGAATCACTTCACCAACAATGATGACTAATAAGAAACATAGTCATTTACTATAAAGACTGAGATAGTACGAAGAGAAGAAATAGCTGCTACTACTATCTTCCATTCTCTATTACAATAGCAAAAAGAAAAGCTTAAGTTTTTCAAGGAATTAAAACTAACAACTTGAAGAAATAGAAGATACCCCCGCTTGCAAACACCCAAAAAAACTCTCCCTTTGTATTGTCAATTGGTAACCTCTCTCTCCCACTTTTCTTTATATGCTTATGGTTACGAGATACCAAATCCTCCTAAGGCTCTATTTGTAAAGGTAACAAGGCATAGACTTAGAGACATACAATTAATTATAATATTTTATAAAATCTCTTAAAGAAAAAAAAAATCTTATAGTTCAAAAAAAAAAAAAAAAGAAGTTTTACCATAATTTTGACTCCATAATTTTAGCAATCTCCTACTTCGAGACAAAAGTAATTGATGTAGTTGCCTAGTGGTTAGTGTCCAAATACATTATCATGCGGCATCTCCAAATCATCACAAAGCCTGATTGTTGGTGCATCTGCTTAGAGGCTAAGGCTTCACAAAGCCTCAATTTTTTTGTTGGTGAAACTTTTATGAACATCTCGGCAGGGCTCTCTGCCCCTCAATCTTAATGAGCTATAAGACACCAACTTCAAGTAAATTATGTATGTACTAGTACTTGACTTGTATAGACTTTGTTGGGGAGTAAAAGATGGCGCTCTTTTCCAAATCAATAGTGCTTTGGCTAACACAAATAAATGTGGTATCTTCTTGCGACTTGTCCATTTCTTCCACAAAGCTTTTGAGCTAGAACATCCCCTTGTTGGTTTTAATAACAACTACAAATTCAACTTTTGAAGTTAATAGTGCAACTAACTCTTACAATTGTGGCACCCAACCGATTGTAATGTCAACCAGAATACAAATGTACTCGATGGTAGTCCTCATTTTGACTAGTTCACTACCAAAATCCAAATCAATGTATCTCTATAATTTTAAGACAATCCTTTTAAAAAGAACAGTTGATTTTAACTTTAAGATAGAACAAGATTCAGTTCATGGCTTCAAAACATTCTTTTCTTGAATTAGAGATATATCTACTAACCATAAGGCTGCCAAAAAAGCTCACACTTTACGAATAGCTTATGTTCAATTTGATAAAAAGCTCATATTTGACTCATTCGTGAAATAAGCAAGGCAAACACGAACAAATATTTTAAGCTCAGATTTTAAAAGAATCAAACACAAATAGAGGCTCTGCTTGATCAAGTTCGGCTTATATAGGCTTGAAATAATTATTGAAGAAAAAAGGCTTTAACAATTGTATAAGAAAGGCTGCTAAAAAACTAAAAGAAATAATATCTAAGCATATACTTGATTGTAATCGCAACTAGAGTACAAATATTGATGGGGACATCAGAGCATGGAACGTACATCAGAGGCGTTGTCGTCGATCTACGGCCACGATAGCGTCGATGTATTTTTGAGTTATTTCATGTATTTGTTTTATTATGTTATTGTTTATTTATGTTGTATTTATTTTTCCCGTTTTAACATCAGAGGCGTATCACGTTTGTTGCGAGTTAGTTGACGTCCTTTTGTAGCTTTCTTTTCGAGCATCTCTGTCATTATTATAACTGCTTTTTTTGAGACATTTTATTTATTTCCCTGTGCAGGGAATGTTTTGTTGGCAGAGACCCGATGACTTGCCTCCAGGCAAGCCTAGCGAGGCCGCCATCAGGAATTAAATTAATTCCCTCCCTCTCTCTTACCCGCCGCCCCTCTCTCTCTTCTCCCTTTATTAAATCTTTTTAATCAAGGGAAATAACTAATGAAGGATTTGAATTAAATCCCTTCCCAAAATCTAAACCCAAATTCCCTAATCTCGTTCCCCCATGGCCGGCCACTTATTCCCCTTTCTTCCTTGGGGGTTTTTGAGATAAGCTCCTCTCTTTCAATAGGAACCTTCAAGGGAAGTACCAACTAGCGTGCTCAACCCTTCAACACTAGAAAAACTTCTTTCTCTCTAATTTGAGCCTTTAAGAAATGACGACGAACTTCTTCAACATTGCAACTACTTATTTTCAGATGTTAATGAAGGTGAACCTCTTCCCCTCTTCATTTGCTTTCCTAATTCACTAACTTTGTAGGTGATGACAAGTCGCTAAGAGCCGTGCTTCACCTTATGCCTAAGGCTAGTAAATGTAGGATTGAGCATGCCTTCTTTGCCTCTAATCTCATTGTTAGATTAGGAATGTTGTTGAAATCTATTTACTTTGTGTGTTGTCGAATTTCTAAATTGTTTTGATTCTCCAAGTGTTTGGCAAGCAGCTTGGCCTAAGCGTAGGCACCCCTCTCTTGTTTTTTATTTTGTCGTTTTAATTGCTAATAGTTTAATCGTTATTATTCTAATCAATAAATCATGCAAATTCTTATTGCATCCATTTTAACGCATGTTAGTCCTACATCAAATGTACTCAATGGTATTCCTCATTTTGATTATGCGCTACCAAAATCCAAATCAATGTACCTCTATAATTTTAAGTCAATCCCTTCAAACTTTAAAAGAATAGTTGGTTTTAATTTTTAGAAAGAACAAGATTCATTTGATGGCTTCAAAATATCATTTTCTCCAATAAGAGATATATCTACTAACCATAGGGCTATCAAAAAAGGGAAATTATTGGGTTCGGACACCGGACACAGCATACGTTTGGTACTTCACAGTACCGAGCAATACTGAGCTCGGTACTGTGAAGTACTAAGTACCGAGCAGTACCGAGCTCAGTACTGCTTGGTACTGCTCAGTACCGAGTAGGAGGTGATGTGGCGCATTTTCATTGGCTTCGGATGTCGTCCAGTGTCCAAATCCAATAATTTCCCGTCAAAAAAACATGTGCTTCACGAATAGCTCATGTTCAGCTTGATAAAAAGCTCATATTTGACTCATTCATTAAATAAGCAACTCGAACACGAATAAATATTTTAAGCTTGAATTTTAAACAAGCCGAACACGAACAAAGGCTATATTCGATCATATTCAGCACATATAGGCTTGAAATAATTATTTAAGAAACATGGCTTTTAACAGTTGTATAAGAAAAGCTGCTAAAAATTTAAAAAAAAAAATAAATCAAAGCAAATACCTGATAGAAGTTAAAGATGTGATCCAGTATTTGTAAGCAAGTAAAGCCACTGTCACTAAAGAAGGTTCTTGAAGAAGGCCCAAGCTCACCAAACCGATCAATAGGAAATAGTATAGTAAGAAAGTGATTCTTAAATATCACCTCATTCCTCTCACTGTACAAACAACGTGCATAGTTAAATATTAAAAGAAGTGGCAAAGTAAAAAATCATGGATCTGCTTGACTTTGCCATCTTGACTGCTGTAATGCAACTGGTAAGAGTGTTTCTCCAAGGCAGGCACGGTAAAACTGATGACCTCATAAAGCCCATGGAAACAGGTTCACCAAGCTGCATTGTCACAACCAATGAAGTGGCACGTCAACCAGCCAAACAGCCCAGATCAACGGGCAAAGCTTTGTCCAGCAGCACCGGAGATGTGCCCAAGGTAAACTTATTCAAGTGCATTTGAGTACCTTTCTCTTAATACTCGAGAACAAGATTCAATCGATACTTCAGAATCCCTTCCATCACCTCTAGCATCATAAAAAACTGAATTAGCATCATCAATCTCCGATGATTCTGTGAAGATGCATGCCGAGGAAGTTGGCTCTGATACTGACCAACACACCGATTCAAGAAGGCTGTTGGGAGTAATAGGATGAAGTGGCATCTGACAAGACTAGTATTATTTGAACAAAAACAGAAGTGTCATTTTGAAAACATCGATGAGAAGTAATTACAATAATGCATACTTAGATTTCATGAGTATTTTATACATATACGTATATCGATAAGTATAGAGTATATGCATAATGAAAGCATTTGTATGATTTAAAAATATAAAAATTATGCAGCATATATATGTTAGGAAGTACTTGAAGATCTCAAGTAAAACCTAACGACCATGACGAAAACAACGAGAACGATCAACCAATCCAAAGAAAAAAATCAGAAAAATAGTAGATTTTATTAGAATAATCAAACGAACGGAAGGAAAATAACAAGATACAATTGATCCTCTATTCGAGAGGAGGATCTATCTCTCTCAAATCTCTAGACGACACTAGAGCCCAAAAACCTAAGAGATCTCAAATTTCAGCCAAATTCAAGATGCCCTAACCCTAGGAAAACAAACTATTTAATGCATATAATGCAAAAGAAAATCTCTAAACAATCTGATGTAGAACGGGTAGGAGGTTTTCAGTCATAAGGGTCTTGAAGAGCAGTTAGTGAGGTCTAAACAGCAGCTTTGACAGCAGGGACAGCAGTATTGTCTTGTAGAAACTTCAGGACAGCAGGTAGAATCTGTCTAGGATGCAGAAAACTGTTCTGGACAGCAACCTATATTGCTCAGAAAAGCTTTGGGCAGCACATAGAAACTATGGGACAGCCATTCGTGGTCTTCCAAAGCGCTGGACAGCAAGATATTCTTGCTGGAATAAGTGGACAGCAAGCAGAATTCCAGGTTTGGGAGGTAGAAGACTTCACGTTGGATGGAGGACGGGAGGATTTAATGGAGGAAATCTAAACAGACTAGTGGGAATAGATGGACAGCAGGTTGGTCTAGTAAAACAGTAGCATTGAAGCTTCACATCACTGGAAAGACACTTAATAGTTGCTGCAATTCTCTGGCTGCAGCCTTAGAAGGTAGAAAACTCAACGTCAGATAGAGTTTGGGGAGAAATTTGTGGAAGGAAATTGATATACGGGAATTGGGAAGTTTCAGCCAGCAGGGGGATGAAGGCCTGACGTGATCTCCAATTTAATTCAATGGGTTTGGAAAGATTTAATGAGGTGAATGCATCAAGGGGAATTTCAGCTAGGTCATGAACAAGGGTTTTAAATTCTTTCCAAGTGGGAATAGAGGATTAGGAAATAAATCCATGAGATTTATTAAAGGGCCGGCGGTTTAAAGATGATGGAGGAGATTGGGGAGGTGATTATGGGTGCTTAATTTAAGGCTTTAAAATTTAGGAAAGTGTTTAAATAAATCCTATTTGAATTTGAAATTCAAATAAGTTTTAATAAGTAAACTTTCCAAAAATAGCTTTCATAAATTAGGAAAGATTTCGAATTTCAAAATACATAATTTTGAATTTGAAATCAGCCCAAAATATGTCAAATTCAAAGAAGTTTTAATAAGGAAACTTTTCAAAAATAGTTTTCATAAATTAGGAAAGATTTCGAATATCAAAATACATGATTTCGAATTTGAAATCAGCCCAAAATATGTCCACCCAAATTAGGCAAGGATTTCAATGGGATGAGGAGGTGTCGTCCCAATTAAATCATCAACCCAATTAGGAAATTTCAAAGAGACGGAGAAGTGGGGATGAGGCCGGCGGTTTGGAGGATTTTCTGGTGAGGTGGCCGACGGCTTATGGTGGAAATGGAGACGACGATGGTGGACGTAGGTAGAGGATGACGACGACGGCTAGGAAATAAGAAGGAACAAGACACAAAGAAAGATAGAAACAAACGATAAAAGATAAAACCGCGAGCCTTGGACTCTTCCGAAGACTAACGGGTGATGCTTTGCCTTTCTCCAAGGGACTTCAAGTCACGAGCCCGACCCATCCTACGGCTAGTGACAACTCCGATTCCTCCCATAGAAATATCGCTATCGTCCTCTTCACAAGAGCACACGTGTGGAACACAATTTTTTTATCAATCCATCATTCCTATTACAATAGCTTAAGGCCCTATATATAGGCCACAACATAAGAAAACTCAAAATACAAAATTGCTCCTTGTGCCACAACACTCATATAAATCAACCTAGGGGTAAAACAGGAAATACATCAAATAAAAACTAAAATTCAGAAAAATAACTCATAATTGAAGATTTAAATTATAGCCGTCGATTTACGACGCCTCCTGTGATAGATGCGCCAAATCTTAGTACCGATGTCTGCATCACAATCCCTACATTCAAATTTTCCTCCTAACTTCCTTCAAAAACCTTTCTAAAAAGCTCTGTAGTGCCTGGGTGGTCGGATCGGCGTACAGTAGGCAGAAAGTTCCACCTTAGTTAGCTTGGGCCAGTCCCGTATGGAATAGCTGGACCAGTCTAACAATACTCCCCTAGCAAAAATCCACCTTGTCTGCAAGGTGGAAAGACAACACCTCCTTCATTTCCTCGTCATCACAAACGGTAAGAACCTGAAGAGTTCGGTCCTTACACCTGTGCCCCGGAGTATACTTCTCATCATATCTGAAACAGAGCCCCTTTGTCATCTTCTCCAGTAAGTTCTGTGAGCTTCTTGAAGTTGTCCCCAGGACTTCCTCCTGTAGTCTTTTCCTTTGAAGTCCCCCGAAGAGTATCCGGGGTTGGCTCCTTGGATGCCAATAAGGTGGTGGTCATCCTATACGATCCTACTGAATTTCTGCCTCCCGTTCCTCTCTCCAGTGCCTCTGATCCTCCAACTGAGCTAACTCCATAGCCTTTCCCAAGTCACGAGGCCTCATCACTTTAAATGTCGCTTGGATCTCTGGTTTAAGTCCTTTCATGAAGTTCCCCTCTACCACGGTCTCAGAAAGGCGGTCCAATCGGTTAGCAAGGTACTCGAACCTCTCACGGTACTCTATCACTGAATCAGCTTGTGTCAAGGCGAAGAACTGCTCATAGAAGTCTCCTCCCCTGCTGTAAAACCCCTCCGAAGTGCATTTTTTTTAGTGCAGTTAGTCCGTACGAACTGACTTTAGTACAGGACGAACTGAAGAAAATTGTGAAGAATCTGTATGGTTCGTCTAGACGAACCTGTACGAGCCTGGACAAACCGTCGGGATGAAATTTGTCCATAGAGCAAATCGTCCAGGAACGAATACACTTCGTCTGGACGAGAATTGTCCAGAGGGAAAATCGTCCCGGGACGAATATGAATCATCCGGGACGATCCGGTTTGATAAGTATTGGATGTCTATTGTACTGAATTGACTGGCGTTATTGATACGACTACTTCTGTAGAGATTTGACGCGCGTATTGATTCATTGGGCTTTACGAACTTTTATATCGTTTATTGATTCTTCCACTGATAGTGATAGCTTCACACGTTCCTGTATTGATTTCTGTTATTGTACTGATTACTGCTTATATATTGATTTTTATTTATGCATTGACTCAATGATCATGTATAAGTAACTGTTATGATATGACTGATTGACATGCATATTGCTTTCGTACCGTGCTTTGATTTCAGTTGTAGGTATTTGGTGACCTGCTGGCTTTTTGAAGCTCATTATATGTGGTTATCAATTTCAGTCTGAGCAAGGGAGCAGGAAGTGATGGTTGATCAAGACTGTCGACGAATCCTTTCACTATAGATGCCTGGGATGTCACAGATCTGCTGGGCTTTTTGAAGCTCATTATATGTGGTTATCAATTTCAGGTCTGAGCAAGGGAGAAGGAAGTGATGGTTGATCAAGACTGTCGACGAATCCTTTCACTATAGACGCCTGGGATGTCACACCTGCTGGCTCGGAATCGTTCTAGCAGGCAATCCTTGAACTCCCTACAACTCCGTATGGATCACCACATGTCCCTCCACAGGTACCAATCCAAAGCCTTCCCTTCTAAACATAGGCCCTCTGTCATCAGTCTCTCCTCATCCGTCAACCTATTGACAGTAAAGTACCTTTCCACCCCTAGATCCACCCATGTACATCTTCTCCCTCAAAAATAAGCATCTTCAGTTTCCTCACTCTTAGATTTCCTCCGTCAACCCTGCTTCCTCCAAAATTTCACATTCCCCAAGGAGGTGGTTCCCCCAACCGTGACAATCATCCTTCCTCCGCTCGCACCCAAACCTTTCATCACAAGCTCATCTTCTCCCTTCAAATTCAGCACCCCTTCAATCATATTCAACCCCTCTCCTTTCAAATTCGACACCTCTTCGATCATAATCAAGTCCTTGCATTTCAAATTCAAACCATCTTCTTTCAAATTCAATATCTCTCCACTCATGCCCAACCCCCTTATGTTTCTCAACACTCTTTATCGGACTCCTCCATAGGAATAGGCCCTAGGGGAGGCTTTTTTTATATTCCTTCTAAAATTTTCACCTCATGATCCTCTCTTCGTCTAACTGGCTTAGGGTTTTCTCCACTTCCCTGGGTGTTAGTGACTTCCCTCACCTCCGACGATATTTTTTTTTTATTTTGGCCCTCGAGCACTTTCTTCAACATCTCCCCCAGGATTGAAAATTTTGAATCGATCTTATAATTGATGACTAAAATTTCTTTCTTTAAATCTGAAACTTGAGTTTATAAATCTAAAATTTCATATTTCATTTGTCCGATCTCCCCTTCGAGGCGTTCCTCCATCAATACCCGGATTTTGTTGGACTAAAAATTTGAATTTCAATTCAAAAAAATAGAAAAACAACCCCTTCTGACTAACAATCAGAAGCTGATTTACTCAGAAAAATCCCCCAAACAGTCCCAAAATCTTCTATGATACTAATTTATTAGGAAATACTTGAAGATATCAAGTAAAACCTAACGATCTTGACGAAAACAACGAGAACGATCAACCAATCAAAAGGAAAAAACTGAAAAAAAGTAGTTTTTATTGGAATAATCAAACTAATCAAAGAAAAATAACAAGGTACAATTGATCCTCTATTCGAGTGGAGGATCTATCTCTACCAAATCTCTAGACGCCGCTAGAGCCCAAAAACCTAAGAGATCTCAAATTTCAGCCAAATTTAAGATGCCCTAACCCTAGGAAAACAAATTATTTAATGCATATAATCCAAAAGGAAATCTCTAAATATTCCTTACATTTCAAATTTCCCTCCTAACTCTGTTCAAAAACCTTCCTAATCAGCTCTACGAAGCCTAGGCGGTCAAGTCGACATATAGGAGGCGGAAAGTTCCGCCTCTTTTAGCATGGGCCAGTCCCATATGGACCGGCTGGACCAGTTCAATGGATCGGTCAAACAATATACCAACACATGGCATGCGTACTAATGGAAATATGAAAATATATACTCGTTGATATAACAGAGCCAACAGTGAGATGTGTTTAAGAGTCAAGAGTCATATAATGTAATTTTTCTTTATCAAAAGTGATATCTCGTAATCGAGAGTTGTCATTAATTATAGGGGCTCACGCCTATAGAAAACCAAAACTCATATCTTAAATTCCTCGCTAAGAGGATAAAATATCTTGGTAGTGTCTTATCTCTATCTAATCTCACTTTCGAAAACTTCCCCCATAACTTAATATGTTAAAATTCTCCCCGAATATAAGCGAAGAGACCGGGGCCCAAAAGCTCAAATTATTGAAGCCCACAATCACACCTGACCCATTTCCAGTACGCCTGATACCTGAATTCCATAGTTTAAACCCAAAACTATCAATCTCCTTAGCCTTCTTTCCAACACATTTAGTTTCTTGAATGAATAGAATATTTATCTTCCTATGAATCATAATATATATTAATTCATTAATTTACCTGCAAAGGAACATATATTCGAAATACCTATCCTAATTATAGTTTTATGAACTAGCTTCTTTGCCCATAACCATCTGTGATGGGGAAACTCTTGCTTATTTAACATTGTACCTAGGCACCAGTGTAGCAACCCTTACACACTTCTCACTGTATTCAGGCCATACAGCGCATAACTTCCAGTGAAAATCCTAACATTAACATAATATATTAAAGGATTCATGCATGATTAGTTTTATACTGATTATTGAATACCTAGCGGAACCCTCCACTTTTCTCATGCAGAACTTGGGACCTGACAACGCTAGTGTTACAAACATACGCAAGTATCATTCAAAGAAATTTAAATGAGTGAAACAGAAAAGAACATATCTTGTAAGCATAATACTCTGAGAGAAAGTATTTATTAAAAATAGTTTTAATATTTTATTTTAAAATATAATTGAGATTTTAATGGCTCTTTTAGTATATTAAAAAATAGTTTGTTGTTAGAAATCCTAGCAAATTAAATTTTAAATAACCGTCTAATCATCTGCTCCTGCCTCGTTAATTCAAACATCTGTGTTGAGTTGTGGCATATACACTCCGTGTGAATTCACTTTTAGCACTTACCAAATAGGACTACTTAATTTATTCCTAAAGTCATTATAGATGATGAGATTATCTCCACAATTGATAGTGGATATCAGAGGTATCTTACACAGTAACATAATAGACCCCACTTGTGATGAATTATGGATTACTCCGTAGAAAAAAAACAATTACATGTAGACTTAATTGATGAATAACAAATGTTCAATTCAATGGAACCTAATCTATTCAAGTCGAATCTTAAAATGTAATATTTATTTAGGTTGTCTTGTATAATTCAAGGATATGAAAGTTCCTAAAAGAATGGAATGCATTCACTATTATTTAAATTATCATGTTGGGAGTGGTTTAAATCTAAAAACTTTTGGCTCAGCCCATGGAATTTCTAGTATAGATTCAAGTCAGCAACTATAAGTTTAGGGAGAATGGGGTGGTGGAATATTTCTTTCTCTATTTTTCATTTTTTGTATTCGTCTTGTTGCTTTACAGATTTACAGTATGCTTCTCACTACCAACCTCTGCTTCTTGCTACTGCTTCATGTTGACATTTGCCCCCCTACTTTATACTACTGTTTTATTCCTACTATTTACACTGCTGATTTCTGTTCCAGTTGTTTCCCTTCACACCTCTTGATTTCTGCAATGATAGCAATTTGTGAATTCCCTTTTATGGCTTTTTTATTCCAGAAACTGTAGATAAAGGCACAACTTTCATCTATTGATTTTCCTAATTTACTTATTCATATTGATTGTTGACTTTCCCTTTGCCCACGTGCTAGAACTGAGATTTCCATGTCCTAAAATTCATAAAACATCTTGTATTTGACAAATTATAGATTGAGTCAGTTTTGAGATGATAAACAAGCCAACCTCAAGTCGAAGTAAACTGGTTTAGATTTAGACTCAATCAAAATTCAAGCAATTATCAAGTGAATTTCTATCTTCTAGCATTGTTAATGTCTTGATTCACCCCTAAGTTAACATTTTGAATGCAAACTTTTTAGCAACAAAAAGGATAATCCATATATTATTTATTTCAAAGAAAGTAAAGCTTGGTTGTTAAGCATAAAAATTTCATATCCTTATAGAAAATACACAAAAGATCGCTCATAATGCACGAAAACAGTTGATTGAATAGCTTTTACTTGAGATGATAATTTATACCAGGTAAACAACATCAACAGGGAAGGTGAGCAATCAATTAACTTACTTGCATGCATCGAGAACGACGATTTCTCACACTCAGCTTTGCTAACTCAGTGCACTTTTGTCTCTCCTCAAGGGAATCTTTTATTTTTCCATTAGCATAAGAATTCCTAGAATGCAATAAAAGTTTACACAGTCCCTCATTGGTATCCTGTAAAAGAATTCAAGAACAAGTGTCAGCCCAAAAGAATGACAGCGTTAGTTAGTAGTAAATGTTAATTTTGAAGTTGAATATTGTACCGAAAACTTATAACAAAACATAATACAATAACATTTCCAGACAGCGTGTCACTTCATTCCATGTCTTGTTAGCTTTCCTCCTCTTCGTTGTATTCTTCCTTTCTCCTTAACTCAAAAACCTATATTTATCCAGTTACTAAGTTCTTTCAACCTAGGAACTTGATTAATCTTGTTATTACTGTCTTATGGTTAGGTTATGTTAAATTAATTTAAAAGATATTTAGATGTTTCGAATTATTTACATGTTTAATAATAAATTTGGAGAATTCTTGTTTCAGTAAAAAAGATAGATGAATCCTTGAAAATGATAAGAATTAATTTGGATTATTTATGGGGTAACCCATACGGATTAAGTTGCTAATTAGTTTTGATTTGGTAATATATGTTTATGCATATGAGGTTTTAATAGAGAATTCGTATTACTTGGCTCTCAAATTATCCTTAAATAGTGCTATTTATTGTGGATCCCAAATGAACGTGATTCGAGTGTTATCAAACATGAGGTAAGTGACTTGTATTTATTAGAGAATAGCAATATCCTTCATCGTTAGGGGAGTTATCCTTCATATTAATTAAAAATTCTTAGATAATTTATAGGTTGCCAACCTTACACTTCTTATTCAGCTTTTAACACATATTTTTGTAGATTTCATTTACATAATTATAATGAAAAACCAAGTAACATACAACTTTGTCTAGATTTATTATTGTATAAAATCAAGAATGTCAAAATGAATCCTATAATAACAAGATATATTTTCATGCAAATTGCCTTTATTGAATACCATAAATTTTATTCTTGCAAATCATGTTCTATTATAAACATATCATTGATTGTATTGATTATAAAATGTTTGTTAAATACTTTATTATTATATATAGAATACATATGCATGTTTGTAATAGGTAATAGTGTGTAAGCCGGTAAAACTTTTTTAATATTGGCTAAAAGAGCCAAAGAATCTGCAGAGAATTCATTGGATACCCATGTGTGTGTGTGTGTTTTTTATTGGATACCCGTGTGTTGGCGTCTACCTTTTTTTTATTTATTTATGGGCGTCTTAGTAAAAATAACTATAGATACATATAAATATATGAAAAGTCAATTATAAATGACAGATGAGTTGGTTGTATTTTATATATATATATA